GTGAACGCCTGAGCAGGCGTCTTGTTAATATTAATCTGCCAACTGAGTTACGCGGTCAGGACGGTTCGAGTATTCCAAAGGTCGTAGGTTCGACTCCCACCGTGGCCAGGCATATTTTTCAAGCCTGCCCGGTGTGGATATACACTCAGAGTAACATCACACAAACATCTTATTCACCCGAGTACATTACACCAACACAGCAGATTTCATGATTATTAGATTACACTGATATCGAAGGAACTAGACTCAGTTCCGAAATATCGCATACTCGAACCGTCCTGACCGCGTAGCTCAGTTGGAAGAGCATTGGGCTAGTATTCCAAAGGTCGTAGGTTCGATTCCCACCGTGGCCAGGCATGTTTTTCAAGCCTGCCCGGTGTGGATATACACTCAGAGTAACATCACAAAAACATCTTATTCACCTGAGTACATTTATACACCAAGACAGCAAATTTCATCAATAAAAATATTTTACAGAAATTAATTATTTAAAATTATATAGTATTTAGCACTTTTTACTGACATTTTACTTAATAATTGTGGTACTTAAAAATGTATTCGTATACCAAATATAATTATAGCAATTTCAAAACACTTCAAAATATGAAAAAAAACCTCGGTCTAGCTCGCCATTGATCGAGACTTGAGAGGCGAAGTTTATTATTTTCTCGACCGTCCTGACCAGACCTGGAAAAAATGTTTATCTTATTCAAAAGTTCCTCAAAAGCGCGACTGCACATTATGCAAAATTCTCCCATAACGAATGTGTGAAAAATGGAAGGGGAATGTTCCTAAGCATCCAGGATCTCACTTCTTTCCAGGTTTGGTGTCCACCTTTAAAACTTGTCTGGTAACAGAATGTACCAATCCCGGATGGTTTCAATAAGCTCTAAAGGACAGCAGATGGTGTTTAACTTAAAAAAATGTTCACATTTTTAGAAGCAAGACTACATTTGTCAATGGATGATCCATAGCTGGAAAGAGCATCTTAAAACGAGCTTTTGCTCAAAGTTTGGTTGCGAGTTGTTGTAAAATGAAGAAAATATAGCCCTGTGAAGTTCGCAAATTTTGTATAATACAAATATATACAAAATTTGCGAACATCACAGGGCTATATATTCTTCATCTTACAACATTTAGCAACCAATCTTTGCAGTTTTACTCATTCTAAGACGCTCTTTCTAGCTGTGGTGTTGCATTTCGTTCTTCTTGCTAGTGATCAAAATTGAGTCTATATCTATTTATTTGCCAGGTTGACCACCACCTACTGCACGATAGTGCTTAGTGAAACCACAGTTAATAGAATAAGAAAGTTAGGAAACTCGATGCAGACATAATAAACCTCATTATTTATGTTTTTGTCTTGCTTTAAGCAAGATATTATCAGTTCATCGTCACATGTGTATTGTATTTTCGCTAAACTGCAACCAATAGCCATGTTCTCATTTAACCATTGTGTGACAGGGTTCGTAGTCTCCAAGACCAAAAAAAATCAAAGACTTTCAAAGACTTTTTCTGCCTATTTTGAAAGACTTCTCAAAGACCTTTGACAGCAATCAGCTGTCGAAAAATTGCGAGTGTAAGTAGCATTTTTACCCGGTAATTAGTCCCGTCAAATCACATCCTAAAATGCGCCTTTTCGTCGATATTTGCGAAAATCTTGCTTCAATCAATCTATTTTATTAGCTAGGAAATCGTATAATCAAATACTCACCAAAGAATTTAAAGACTTTCTTCGCCTTTTCACACAATTCAAAGACTTTTCAAAGACCTTAACGACCTGCACTCAAATTTAAAGACTTTCAAGGATTTCAAAGACCGCTACGAACCCTGTGTAATATCACGACTGAGTAATTTAACAAACACACTGTTATCGGTTGGTTAGGCGAAAATACAATACACACGTGCCGATGAACCGACCATTTCCTGCAAAAACGAAGAGAAAAACATAGATAATGATGTCTAATATGTCCACATCGAGTTCCATACCCTTCTTATTCTATTGACTATGATGAAACGCGTCAATTCATAAATCCCTTTTGTAGTTTTCGTCAACGAGTACAAACTTCATCCCAATTTGTTGTGTATTTGTTTACGACTGGGTACAAAGCAAAATTCTGATTGTCCACTCAGGCCATTTTCTCGTCAACCCGGGGGCTAGGCGGTGGGGTAGATAGACCGCTTGAAACGGAGGTACGGTCAGGATAAGGTTCGGCCTTAATTGCATATTCGATGTGCCGTGACCATCTGTAAAAAGAAATGAAAAGTGATCATTAATCGTCTGCCCGTTTCCGCATCAATTACATCGATGGCATAGGGCCTAGCTACACTTATAGACGCAAAAAAAGGGAATGAAAGTATACAACGTTGTTTATAACGCCATGCCTAGTTACTATTGAGTCTATTGTTCTTGTTTACGGAGGTATAGAACAGAACAAAAGTAACTAAGCATTAGAATTGCGTATAAAAGTTATTCATTCATGTAGATTATTCTAAAGCTTTACCTTTGTTCTATTCTATGGTACTGTATACCACACACACAAAAATCTCACATCTTGTAGCAAGTCTGGCAACAAGCCGTCAACAAGTTGTGTTCGCACTGCTTGTCCCAAGTTGTCAACAAGTTTGGAACAGCTTGTTGATATTATCAGACTTGATGTAAGGTTGTTTCAACAAGTCCGATACAATCATGATATAACAATGTTGTTACAACCTTGTGTCGTCAACCTTGTAACATTCTTGTTATATCATGACCATAACAAAGTTCAACACATACTTTTCCAATGTTTCGTCGTTGTCTGTTTCAAACGAAAATGAACCATGAAGTCCTTTATGCGAAACTTTGAAAACACGTTTGCCGTTTTTATCGTTCTCCTCGCTCTGAAAATAAAATATTGAAAATATCAGTACGACGTAAACATTCGTATATAAACATTTACTTTCATTAGCGCTCAGTTTGTATTAAGATTAGATTTATATTTGGGTTCACTTTGATGGCGCTTTTTCTTTCCTTTGCGTTCGCTTTTCATTTGTCAAATTACTCACTGAATTTTCACTTAGCTCATAGCCAGGCAATGGGATTGTTGTCTGAGCTTTCACGTCCTGCAAAAGACAAATTGTGAAGAGTTTAGAACTGATAGAGCTATCCAGTATAAATACAGTTAATTTAGTTTAGGTTTCCTTCTGTAGTGACACTGGATCAATAAGAGATAATCCTTACTGAACCTCTAGAAGAACAATTTAGAACTGATAGAGCTATCCAGTAGAAATAAAATTAGTGTAGTTTAGGTTTCCACCTGTAGTAATATTGGATCAATAAGAGATGATCCTTACTGGACCTCTAGGAAGAACAGTTTAGAACTGACAGACCAATCCAGTATAAATAAAGTTAGTTAGCTATCCTGCACAAACCTTCTTTGCCTTAAAAACATGGAGAGTGAAATCCTCGCCCAACATACACCAACGTTTTGACCAGGTCTTGGTGCTGTCACTTCGGAAATTAAGATAGCCGCTCAATACAGAATCTGCCAACTTTCGAATTTTCGTGTTGGCGCCTTTATGTTCCTTTGTTCTCCCCATCGTTAGGACTTTATGACAATTCACGCAGACTCGGTTCGTCCTATTATCATCGTACTCAAGCTGGGCTTTATAGCTCGAGCAGTTACTACAGACAATTTTCCCGCACGCCCGACAATGGTGACGCCTTCGTAGCGTTGTGAAGGCAGTTGTACACGACATGCACATGGTAACGGCGTCATCTCGAACCCAAACTGGAGCGATTTTTCCGATGTCTGTCTCACCCAATATTGTCACCTGAGAACAAAAATTCATGATTCAACCATTATAGACAAGAGAGAGATGTCCGTATTAGAAAGCTATACTATTAGAGAGGTGTCAATTTTAGAGAGGTATCTGTATTAGAGAGATGTGTCCATAGTAGAGGGGTGTCTGTTTTAGAGACGTGTCTGTATTAGAGAACTGTCCGTGTTAGAGAGGTGTCTGTGTTAGAGAGATACCTGTATTAGAGTAATGTCCGTATTAGAGAGGTGTCTGTATTAGAGAGGTGTCCGTATTAGAGAGATACCTGTATTAAAAAGGTGTCTGTATTAGAGAGATACCTGTATTAGAGAGATGTCTGTTTTAGAGAGAAGTGTCCGTATTCGAGGGGTGTCTGTTTAGAGACGTATCTGTATTTGAGAGGTGTCTGCATTAGAGTGATGTCCGTATTAGAGACGTGTCTGTATTAGAGAGGTGTCCATATTAGAGAGGTGTCTGTATTAGAGAGGTGTCCGTATTAGAGACGTGTCTGTATTAGAGAGGTGTCCATATTAGAGAGGTGTCTGTATTAGAGAGGTGTCCATATTAGAGAGGTGTCTGTATTAGAGAGGTGTCCGTATTAGAGAGGTGTCCGTATTAGAGACGTGTCTGTATTAAAGAGGTGTCCATATTAGAGAGGTTAGAGAGATGTCTGTATTAGAGAGGTGTCTGTGTTTTATTGGCATATAATTCGACTTTCTTGTAAAGCAGTGTCCCACTGAAGAAACACTGAATTTCATCGTCTACCTATACTATCCAGGCTCGTGGTTGATTGATTATAACAATGAAAAACAATAAAACTATAGAAATCGTCTTTCTAGAAAACGAGCCACGAACAATGATCATTTTTGTTTCTGACTTAGCCAATCAGAAAACATGATCATTTTAAGTAGGTCTTCACCCAATTTAAATCAACATTCTCCTCTCACCTCGCGACCAAAAGTGCTGTTCCTCTCAATGGCATTCTTGATCGCCTCGGTTAGAGTCGACACCCATTTCTCTTTCTGTTCCACCGAAGTCGCCTGGAAGTCGGCCACTTTGCTCTTGCTGCAAACTCGAAACGCAAGATCACGATTCTCTATCTCGTCGTCGGGGTCTTCCAGATGCGTTGACAAAAGGTCCACTGTCTGCTTAACTTTGTATTTTCCAGTCGCTGGGACTTTTGTGCAATAATATAATGAATCGTTGAACTAAAATATTAACAAAGGAGGGTTTAGCGAGATCAGATACTGACCATAATTATATTAGAAGACACCTATAGAGCGTTTGCACTCATTCCCTAGGGACCAACTCAACAAAAGCCATGGCGGCCATGTTTGTGTTCCAGACAAAAGAGTCTAACTAAAACTCTTTTGAATTGGAACACCAACATGGCGGCTGTGACGTCATGTGCAAACGCTCTATAATATTATTCACATATTATTAAAGACGTTTGGACAAAGTCTCTTTGAAAACGGAATTCTGGCGTTTGAAAACCAAGTTCTGCGGTGCCATTTGAAAAGGGAGTTCTGGCATTTGAAAACCAAGTTTTGCCATTTGAAAAGGGAGTTCTGACATTTGAAAAGGGAGTTTTGCCATTTCAGGGAGTTCTGGCATTTGTAAATGGAGTTCTGACATTTGAAACGGGAGTTTTGGCATTTGAAAAGGGAGTTCTGGCATTTGAAAACCAAGTTTTGCCATTTGAAAAGGGAGTTCTGACATTTGAAAAGGGAGTTTTGCCATTTGAAAAGGGAGTTCTGGCATTTGAAAAGGGAGTTCTGGCATTTGAAAAGGGAGTTCTGACATTTGAAAAGGGAGTTCTGACATTTGAAAAGGGAGTTTTGCCATTTGAAAAGGGAGTTCTGACATTTGAAAAGGGAGTTTTGCCATTTGAAAAGGGAGTTCTGGCGTTTGAAGAGGGAGTTCTGGCATTTGTAAAGGGAGTTCTTGCGTTAGTGTGGCTAATATAAACACTAGATGAACAGTTTATAACTCATACAGTTATCAAGTAAAAATAAAATTAGTTTAGTTTAGGTTTCCTCCTGTACTAACACTGGATCAATAAGAGATTACTCTTACTGGACCTCTAGAGAGAACAGTTTAGAACTGATAGATCTAGAGCTATCCAGTATAAATAAAGTTAGTTTAGTTTAGGTTTCCTCCTGCAGTAACACTGGATGAATAAGAGATGATCCTTACTGGATGAGCGCACTCCTCTAAAGAGAACAGTATAAATGAAGTTAATTCAGTTCAGACAGAAATATAACAGACATGAGAAAAAATAGGAAAGAAACGATAAAAGATTTTTCTGGACACATTACTCACCAAAACAAGAATTCTTGTCATAATTTGAGCATTTCGTGCGGATCTCTTAATCAATTCACCTTCCATTATAAATTCCTAAAAGGAAAAACACAACATCTAAATTATGTGTAAATATCTTTTCCCCCGTTCCAGCAATCGCCAGTTCACGTTGTAAGTATTTTATTACTCGCATACAATGAAGGATACCCACCCGACTCGGTGTAACAATGCTGATGCCATCGCCAAATTTTTCCTGTATTTCTAACATCTTCTGGAAACGTTCCTGCAAAAGAAACATGTCGGGATGTTCCTAATTAGGTCTACGAATGTATATATTACATTCAAAAACTCATTAATAATTCATGAGAAAAACACAAAGAAAAATCATAAGCGTGTCGTATCTTTACATGTGATAGAGATTTCCCTTGATTTACATAAACTTTAACTTTGATTTTCTCGACTTACACAACGTATTTTTTGAAAATTACTTCGATCGTTTTTGAAGCAATTTAAAACATTCGCAGTGCGTGTTTTACCAGACCTAAAGACACTCGGCTTCGCCTCGTATCTTTAGGCCGGTTTACACGACAAGCGTTTTGGGCACGGCACCCCTGAAAATGGGCACCGTGCCAAAACTCCCACTTCGCTATTTACTCGTTTACACGACAACATTTTGTAAACACACTTTTATGATAGGCACCGTGCCCATCGGAAAACGGCACCTCTACTTTCCGTTTACGACGGTATATTTTAAAGAATAAATAAGTCGGACAGAAATAGAATTATATATTTACAATTATTGGAACGAAGAAGAGTATTATATGAGCCGAAAATCGAGGGGAAAAACCAATTCAATACCAGAAAAGTACTTTAAGGGCCAGCTCATATGGGCAAAAGTTATCCCAGTTAGCGAGAAAACTTTTCGACAAGTTTACAAACGAGATCTTGCCTTGGTATGAAAATAATATGAAAAGTTACACTGCGTTCATATGAGACAAAAAGTTTTTCCGTGTACCGAGATCTCGCTTGCTGGCAAGCCAGATC